AGTCATTTTTATATCCATTCTATAAAATCACGTGTGAAATAAGTTCGGCGTCAACATCTACAATTGGGATGTCAGCATTATATTTAGATAATATAGCGAATTCTTTATCGCTTAATGCCCAATCACATAAAAATATAATTATAAAAAGTGCTGCTAATATAATGAAAAAAAAATGTAATATTTATATCGAATATTTTACCACATTTTCAAATTATGCATCATCATTTCTTGATCCAAGAATTAAGAAAACATTTTTACCAAATTTCATAAATAACCTTGGGTTTTATGAAAAATTCAAAAAAGTATTTGATGATTATGGTACATCGAAATCAATATATGATTTCGAAGAGGAGGATAATAATGAATCCAATCTAATGTCTGTCAGTATTCTGAATGAGTTAAGAAGGTAAATATAAATACTTAATTATATAGAATACTCATTATAAAAACTTCTAAAAAACATTTTTGAAGCTATATTGGAGTGACTAAATTTAAATTTTATGCTTACATTAAACAAAAATTATGATAGTTATTTGAGTTAATATAAATATATATTAAACATTTAAAAATAGAGACTTAAGAACTTATAAAATTAATAAAGCATATAGTTGCAAAATAGGCATTTTAAAATATGTTTGTTACAAGGTTTTACAATGGATTTGATTATATAATAAATAGTTAATTTAATTTTAAATATTTTATATTAAGGAAATCATACATTATGCTAATTTAGACGGAGAAGAAATCGAAGAATATTTAACAGATCCCGTTGCTCAAACCTCTGTTGATATTATAGATTGGTGGTCTCGAAACGCTAATCGTTTTCCAAAGCTGTCGACAATGGCCAAGGATTACTTATGCGAACAAACTACGTCCGTAGCAAGCGAACGTATTTTTTCTCGAGCCGGCGTAACCATTACTAAGAAGAGGAATAGGATGTCAGCCTCAACGTTAAAACAATGCCTATATATAAATTCATGGGATGTTAATGTTTTAAATTTACGTGACGAATTTTTTGTATAATTTGTTATTTTTCCATTATTTGTTATTTGATTTCATATAATTTTTATTTTTTATTTATGAAAATAATAAAGATATGATAATGTGCCTTATATATTTTGCATTTGTAAATTTTTACTTATAAAATATAAGAGCCTACTTGCGATAAATCAATAATTTTAAATATATCATTTTTAAATTAAAATAGTTATTATTTCTAAAAAGAAATGGGGGGAGGGGGGGGGGGGGGGTGGTGGTTTATAGATAAAAAAATTTTAATTCCTAATTAGTAGTATCTCTGAAGATCTAAATGTTTTCCAAATTTTTTCTATGATATTCATTCTTAAGTATTTGGATTTTGCATGAGTCATCCACACAATTACCAAAGAAAAAAATCAATTAAAAATTATAATTTATAATGATGCATTAGTGATAGAAAGTATTTAGTGGGTTTAGCAAGGCCCGCTAACACTCGCTTTAACAATCGTGATATGTAAACAAAATATTTGTAAAACTCAGAAATTATGAAAAATAATTTAAAATTTGTCAAGAATTATATCCATGATCTTAAATCAAATAATAATTAAAATCTTGTGTTTCAAATCAAATTTGATATAAAAAATTTATAGTAGTTACATATTAATTAATATTTTTATAAGATTAGGAAAAATATATGTATCTGAATGTCTTAAATTTAAAAATGAGTTCCTTGCTCAATTTTCCCTGTATTTTCCTATTATCTACCATTGGTGTTGTTAAAACGCCGCGAGTCGCGACCCCGACCCAAAGCTCGGGTCGTTTTATTCAACTCCGACTCAATGTTTGGGTCGTTTTTTTCGACTTCGACCCGAGTTCAAGCCGAAAAAAACGACTTCAACCCAAAATATGGGTCGTTTTTTACGACTCCGACTCAAAATTTGGGTTGTATTTTTCGACTCAAACTTGAAATTTAGGTCGTATTTTTCGACTCAAACTTGAAGTTTGGGTCGTATTTTTCGACTCAAACTTGAAGTTTAGATCGTATTTTTCGACTCCAACTCAAAGTTTGGGTCGTTTTTCTGACTCAGACTCAAACATCGGGTCGTTTCATTCAATCAGACCCAAAATATGGATCTATTTTTTAAAGACGACTTAAAGTTAGGGTTGCTTTTTTTCACCCCTAACCCAATATCTAGATCATTTTTTTCGACCAAAAGTCAAATAACATTTAGTATATATTAATATTATAGGCGGGAAAGTTACTTAAAGCTTCTTTAAATTATAATGCTTGATTAACTATTCATCATAGTTATATTTTAAAATTTTTAAGTGAAGATGTACCATAGAAAAGTGCCATTTGTCATGATGGTTATTTTTGAACTTTTTTAAATGAAATAGATAAAAATATATATTGTAGACATGTTAAATCAAAATTTCAGTGATGATGTACCATAGATAAGTGGTAATTGTCATAATCGCTATTTTTGAACTTTTTTGAGTTTTTTTAAAACAAATTGCTAAAAATATATATTCTAAACATGTTAAATCAAAAATTCAGTGAGGATGTATAATAGATAGGTGACAATTGTCATAATCGCTATTTTTGAACTTTCTCAAATTTTTTTAAAGGAAATATCTAAAAATATATATTCTAAACATGTTAAATTAAAAATTCAGTGAGGATGTATCATAGATAGGTGACAATTGTCATAATCGCTATTTTTGAACTTTTTCAAATTTTTTTAAAGGAAATATCTAAAAATATATATTCTAAACATGTTAAATTAAAAATTCAGTGAGGATGTTTCATAGATAGGTGACAATTGTCATAATCGCTATTTTTGAACTTTTTCAAATTTTTTTAAAGGAAATAGCTAAAAATATATATTCTAAACATGTTAAATTAAAAATTCAGTGAGGATGTATCATAGATAGGTGACAATTGTCATAATCGTTATTTTTGAACTATTTTCAATTTTTTTAAAGCAAATAGCTAAAAATATATATTCTAAACATGTTAAATTAAAAATTAAGTGAGGATGTATCATAGATAGGTGACAATTGTCATAATCCCTATTTTTGAACTTTTTCAATTTTTTTTGCAGGAAATATCTAAAAATAAAATATTCTAAACATGTTAAATTAAAAATTCAGTGAGGATGTATGATAGATAGGTGACAATTGTCATAATCACTATTTTTAAACTTTTTCAAATTTTTTTAAAGGAAATAGCTAAAAATATATATTCTAAACATGTTAAATTAAAAATTCAGTGAGGATGTATCATAGATAGGTGACAATTGTCATAATACCTATTTTTGAACTATTTTTTTCGACCAAAAGTCAAATAACATTTAGTATATATTAATATTATAGGCGGGAAAGTAACTTAAAGCTTCTTTAAATTATAATGCTCTGATTAACTATTCATCATAGTTATATTTTTAAATTTTTAAATGAAGATGTACCATAGAAAAGTGCCATTTGTCATGATGGTTATTTATGAACTTTTTTAAATGAAATAGATAAAAATATATATTGTAGACATGTTAAATCAAAATTTCAGTGATGATGTACCATAGATCACTGAATTTTTAATTTAACATGTTTAGAATATATATTTTTAGATATTTCCTTTAAAAAAATTTGAAAAAGTTCAAAAATAGCGATTATGACAATTGTCACCTATCTATGATACATCCTCACTGAATTTTAAATTTAACATGTTTAGAATATATATTTTTAGATATTTCCTTTAAAAAAATTTGAAAAAGTTTAAAAATAGCGATTATGACAATTGTCACCTATATATGATACATCCTCACTGAATTTTTAATTTAACATGTTTAGAATATATATTTTTAGCTATTTGCTTTAAAAAAATTGAAAATAGTTCAAAAATAACGATTATGACAATTGTCACCTATCTATGATACATCTTCACTGAAGTTTTATTTTAACATGTTAGTAATACTTATTTTAGCCCAATTATGTCAAAAAAACTTAAAAAAGTTATAAGATAACGATTATGACAATTATCACTTTTTTATGGTACATCTTCATGAATTTTTAATTTAACATGTTTAGAATATATATTTTTAGCAATTTGCTTTAAAAAAACTCAAAAAAGTTAAAAAATAGCGATTATGACAATTGTCACCTATCTATGATACATCCTCACTGATTTAATTTAACATGTTTAGAATATATATTTTTAGCTATTTTCTTTAAAAAAATTTGAAAAAGTTCAAAAATAGCGATTATGAGAATTGTCACCTATCTATGATACATCCCCAATGAATTTTTAATTTAACATGTTTAGAATATATATTTTTAGCAATTTGCTTTAAAAAAACTCAAAAAAGTTCAAAAATAGCGATTATGACAATTACCACTTATCTATGGTACATCATCACTGAAATTTTGATTTAACATGTCTACAATATATATTTTTATCTATTTCATTTAAAGAAGTTCAAAAATAACCATCATGACAAATGGCACTTTTCTATGGTACATCTTCACTTAAAAATTTTAAAATATAACTATGATGAATAGTTAATCAGAGCATTATAATTTAAAGAAGCTTTAAGTAACTTTCCCGCCTATAATATTAATATATACTAAATGTTATTTGACTTTTGGTCGAAAAAAATGATCTAGATATTGGGTTAGGGGTGAAAAAAAGCAACCCTAACTTTAAGTCGTCTTTAAAAAATAGATCCATATTTTGGGTCTGATTGAATGAAACGACCCGATGTTTGAGTCTGGGTCAGAAAAACGACCCAAACTTTGAGTTGGAGTCGAAAAATACGATCTAAACTTCAAGTTTGAATCGAAAAATAGGACCCAAACTTCAAGTTTGAGTCGAAAAATGCGACCCAAATTTCAAGTTTGAGTCGAAAAATACAACCCAAATTTTGAGTCGGAGTCGTAAAAAACGACCCATATTTTGGGTCGAGGTCGTTTTTTTCGGCTTGGACTTGGGTCGGAGTCGAAAAAAACGACCCATATTTTGGGTCGAAGTCGTTTTTTTCGGCTTGAACTCGGGTCGAAGTCGTAAAAAACGACCAATACTTTGAGTTGGAGTCGAAAAAAACGACCCAAAATTTGGTTGAGCTCTGTTCGAGCCGAGATTAACAACACTATCTACCAATCCTTTAAAAAGTTTCAAATGATATACCACTCATATCTAATACCAAATATTATAAACTAAGTTCAAGTTAAAAAAAAAGAATAAAATATAATAGCAGTATCAATATTAGAGGTTTAGAAATATTTTTCTAATTATAAAAACTTTTTACTAGTCTAAAAATAAGTATAATTTTTTTTATATTTCTAGATTTTTAAGGGTGGAGTCAAAAATTAGTGAAAGAAAAAATTTCTTACTGAATCCAAATATTTTATAACATCTTTCCAATATCAAAATTTTTTAAATAGGCTTAAAACAATTTTAAATAAAATTTTCCTCATTGGAATAAAATATAATTGCAGTGACACCTTATTACTAGATCCAATGGTTTTAGAAAATCTTTAAATATCCAAAACTTTTTACAAGACTTTAAATATAAATAAAATGTTTTTTTAATTTTTACATTTCAAGCATGGTGTTAAAAAAAATGGCAATAGAAATATCTTTATAAAAATAAAATTTTAGAACTTTATAATATTAAAAACCACTAAGATTAAAAGGAAGTTTAAAAAAACTTAAAGATGACGATTATGACAATTGTCACTTTTCTAAAGGTACATATTCACTGAAAATTTAATTTAACATGTTTACAATCTATATTTTTACCTATTTGCTTCAAAAAATTGGGTTCCAGTGTAGAGGCTTTTTTGTTTTACAATGTTTCCCATCAATGGCACCTTATAAAATATTAAAATAATAATATAGTATGAAATAATAAAATAAAAATTATAATTATCTTTTGTTTGATATAAATAAAATTTAACCTATACAGTTTGGGAAGTTCCACCTTTCATCAAAGCCCTTAGCAACTTCCTCAAACATCTCCAATGTTGGGACCTTCATATGGATGGGTTGAATAATATCCCATATAGCTTTTGTGGTTTCTCCTATTATTAGTTTTATAGTTGACACCCCAAGTTTATGAGAATATGACAAGGTGACATATGAATTACCAGTTGCTAGGTATCTAGATGAAATGAAGTATCAAGAAATTAGCATAAAAATGATTTTTAAATGCCTAATTATTATAATTAACTCATTATTAAATGTTATATTAATTATTGTAAATATTCATTCTTATTATATGTAATATTAAGGTTATATCTCAATATTAATTATAAAATTAATTTAATATATATATAATAAACTAATTTTAATAAATTTATATATATATTTATAAGAATAAATAAAACTAAAAATATTTACCTCAGGTAGACCTATTCAAAAACGTATTTGAATCGAATAATTTACTATTTGAATTCGTACGAATAATAAAATCTACTATTTGTATTCGATTCGAATTATTCGAATAATTTTCGAATAATTGAAATGAATTTTCTTAATAAAATAAATCATACTCAAATATATTGAAATTTTTTTATTGCAAATTTGATTTCAAACAGAAAAAATTATAATAATCCGATGACAAATAAATATAATCAAGTTATAAACAAAATTAAAATATTATATTATTCATTTAATTTATAATTTTAAGCCAATTTTTAAGGCAAAGGGTTTTTCTTATATTTTCTTCTTTATATGACATGCGGTTTTTTGACAACAAATTAGTGCCAACTGAGAAAAGGCTTTCACACGCAGTTGATGTTCCTTGTATAGATAAATAATCTCTTGCCATTTTTGAGAGTATGGGGATCCTATGTGCATTTGTCTTCCACCACATCAATGGATCAGTATCACTCTTTGATCTTGGTTCACTCAGGTAAAAATCGATTTCACATAGTTGAACATAATTTTGTTTAAAAACAATGTCAAGTCTGTTTTGTTGACTTTCATCCTTATTTTGGCAGTTGTAATTATCAGCAGCTTATAAAATAAAATGATATGTATTTAAATGGTGGTAAATTAAATACCTGTATATCTGCTGTAAATCTCTTTAAACTTGTCTGTTAACCTGGATATATCAATATCATAATCAAGAGATATTGATTTAAAATATTCTATTTTGAGCATGGGATCCAATATTGTAGCTATTATTGCATCTAACAATTTATCACATGCCACTTTAAAATCATTGTTAGAGGTTTTATGAAAACAAGGTTTCTCATTTTTTAAGTGTTCAAGAATTAGAATATAATAGGGTATAACCAAATTATAAGTAGGATAATTTTCCCCACAAACCATATTTGTAGTCTCATACAATGGCAATAGGATAGATTTAATTTTTACAAGAACGTCCCATTCCTCCTGTATGTTATGTTAATAAAGTATTATTTAGCTATTTATAAATTTTAGTTTACCTCTGATAATTGTTTTTCTTGAAGAATTATAATATTAGTTATAACTTCATTAACTAATTTTTTTATAGCATGCTTTAACAATAAGCCCTTTTCAATCATTTGGTAGGTGCTATTCCACCTTTTCACAATCCAATTTGGGTTTTAAAAAATTTATAGGAGGATGTAGTGATACATATATTTTTTAATAAATTTAATTTTTTAGGAGAATTACGTATCATCTTAATAATGTTTCGTAGTTTTAAAATTTCTTTGGATATTAAATTAATAACATGAGCAAAGCATCGAATGTGCCCTATTTTTATTGATGGATATTTTAAAGAAAATGTATCAATAAATGTTTTATTTTTAGTAGCATTATCTAGTTATATAAAAAATTTTATTCTCCAAATTATAATTTTTAATTATTTTAATAAAGGCTTTAAATATGTTTTCACCTGAATGTTGTTCGTATATTGGAGCAACATCCAAAATTATGTTATTTATTTTAAAATTGTCATCAATAAAATGGGCTGTTAACCCTAAAAAAGGAACCTGAGTTGGGCTAGTTCAAATATCAGATGAAAAATTAATCTGACTTTTATTTTTGGATATTATATCCTTTACCAACTGTTCTTTTTCTGCAAATGTATAATACATATGCAATTTAAGAGTATTGGAGCATATTGATATAGAAGAATCAAGATCATATAAAATTTTTAAAATCAGGTGAATTAACAATTTTAAAAGATAAATTATTATTAATAAATAATTTTAGTAAGTTATCTTTATAATTAATTTTAGTAAGTTATCTTTATAATTAATTTTAGTAAGTTATCTTTATAATTAATATTTAAGATAAAGAAAAAGGTGATATAGGCTTTAAAAAAGTGTCAATTTTATTACTGTTTTTACAGAGATGTGAATGAAACCTATTATAATAATTAATAAGAGGCGATGTTGTTTTGCCTTTGCATTTAATAATGCTCTTGCAATGATTGCAAGCAGCCTTTTCACCATTGAGTTATTGATCCCATATAATCGCTCTTTTTTGTGAAGAAATTTTGTCAACATCAACCATAACTATTTCATCAAAATCATTCTCCTCTAACATAATTAGGCTAGCTAACAATATTTTATTATAAAGATATAATATATTTTTATATACCTTTGGTTTGTATATATTTTTATATACTTTTGGTTTGTGTAATTTTTAATATAATTAATTTTGAAAAAATACGGGAAATTAAAATTAAAATTTTTGCTAGTCTTTTTATAAACACATCACCTGTCAGATTGGCAGGTTATCAAATAGAAATGACAAATGTTAGATTTATTTTAAAAAAAAGCAATTTATTAAATATTATGAATAATTCGTTTTATTCGAATCGAATAAATGATTATTCGTATTCGGATAAAACAAATAATTTATTATTCGTATTCGTAATTATTCGTTTCTATTCGAATTATTCGAATCGAATTGAATATTCGAATTTTTTTTGAATAGGCCTACCTCAGTGTTATCATCAATTTTTCATCAGGTGTAATAAGATTCTTGATAAAATTAGTTTTCTTTTTTGTAATTTTATTTTTAATAAAATCTAGTATGTAATAAAATTTTTCCTATTTTTTAAAGTGAAAATACTATATATAAAAATATACTCACTTTTTTAATGCGCATGTAATTATAAAACTTGAGGTCATCTTTAAGTAATTTTGGCAGCAAAGTAAAATATGCTCCCTCCTTCGGCAGAGGATATTTGACCAATCCCAAATTCAACGTTTAACCCATTAATTTCTGCAGTAAGTTTTGCTTGATTTTATTGAATCATCCAAATATTCTAAATAGAATTACCTGACAATTATGTAATACAAGTTCTTTGTTACAACAAACGGCATAATGGCCAATTTTTTTTTACATATTTTGCATGCCGCATTTGTGGGTGGACTTGGTTATATTTCAGGTTTAAAATTTATAATGGTCTTGGTATTTTTTTAAACTAAGACCTAAAAGCTCTTTTTATGGCTAAAAACATAATATTATAACTTAACATTAAAATAAAGATCAAAAGCAATAGCTTACATAATCTTGTGGATTTATTAATAAATTATATTTAATATTTATTTTATTTTACAGATAAAGTCTTCAGACGAATCAAAGACGATATTGGGAACGATAATAGTCTTTACAACATTATATGATATTGTTATTATTGTTTTTTTTAAATATTACCCTAATGTGATGATACAGTATACTTTTTTATTTTTATATTGATTAGCATATGATGGTATACAAATAATAAATAAACGATCATTTAAAAAAAATTTTGTATATTTCGTCTAATAGCATGATATTTATTGAGATGTAATATAAATGTTGATTCTAAATCCCAAGAGTATAGGCTAATTAATAATATTTATAAAGACATGATTTTTTTAGAAAAATAAGATTTAACCCTTGACTAAAAAGGGGGAAAAAATTCCCGTAACTACATAGGTGGAGTCTATTTTACCCCAAATTTTGATTAGCTATATCTCATAACATATTAAGTTTATAAAATTTTTAATAAATATTAGAGATAATAAACACATAATATTAGGTTAATATATACTTCCAAAATAAAGTTATACAAATTTATAAGTTGCTGATATAATTTTTTTTTGAGACATTAAATCATTTATGGTTGTCACTAAGGAATTTAGGAAAATAATTTCACGGAAAATTATTCCCCAGAAAAAAAACCCCCTTGAAAAAAATTCACCGGAAAATAATTCACGGGAAAAAAATACCCTGAAAAAAATACCCCGGAAAATAATTCCCTTACATTTCGATCCCTATAAAATATTAAATAATTTTTAGAAAATTTACAAAATAAGAAAAAAAATACAATATACTTTAAAATATAATATTTACATATTCTGTATTCTTTTAATGAGTTAAATATGAATCTGTTTTGATTTTTTTAAAAAAAACTATATTTTGACCGGGAACGCGTAGTGTTTTCGAAAAAAAGAGTTTTTTCCAAAAATCACTAAGTTATTAAATACTTTAATATATAATATTTACATATTCTGTATTCTTTTAATGAGCTAAATTTTAATCTGTTTTGATTTTTTTAAAAAAACTGTATTTTGACCGGGGACGCGTAGGGACGCTTAGTTTAGCCAAAAAAAAATTTTTTCGAAAAAATTTTTTTTTTAAATATTTTTTATTAATACCATTTTCTGAATCTCCTTGAAAAGCTAAACATGAATCTGCTTTTAATTAAAAAAAAACGGTTTTTTGACCGGGGACGCGTAGTGTTTTTGAAAAAAAAAGTGTTTTTTCAAAAAATCACTAAGTTATAAAATAGTTTAAAATATAATATTTACATATTCTGTATTCTTTTAATGAGCTAAATATGAATCTGTTTTGATTTTTTTAAAAAAACTGTATTTTGAAAGGGGACGCGTAGTTTGCCCAAAAAATTTTTTTTTATTAATACCATTTTCTGAATCTCCTTGAAAAGCTAAACATGAATCTGCTTTTATTTTTTAAAAAAAACGGTTTTTTGACCGGGGACGCGTAAGTGTTTTCGAAAAAAAAAAGTGTTTTTTCCAAAAATCACTAAGTTATTAAATACTTTAATATATAATATTTACATATTCTGTATTCTTTTAATAAGCTAAATATGAATCTGTTTTCATTTTTTAAAAAAAACTGTATTTTGACCGGGGTAGCGTAGGGACGTGTAGTTTAGCCAAAAATAATTTTTTTCGAAAAAATTTTTTTTTAATTTTTTTTTATTAATACCATTTTCTGAATCTACTTGAAAAGCTAAACATAAATCTGCTTTTATTTTTTAAAAAAAACAGTTTTTTGACCGGAGACGCGTAGTGTTTTCGAAAAAAAGTGTTTTTTCAAAAAATCACTAAGTTATTAAATACTTTAATATATAATATTTACATATTCTGTATTCTTTTAATGAGCTTAATATGAATCTGTTTTTATTTTTTTAAAAAAACTGTATTTTGACCGGGGACGCGTAGGGACGCGTAGTTTAGCCAGAAAATTTTTTTTTTATTAATACCATTTTCTGAATGTCCTTGAAAAGCTAAACATGAATCTGCTTTTATTTTTTAAAAAAAACGGTTTTTTGACCGGGGACGCGTAGTGTTTTCGAAAAAGTGTTTTTTCAAAAAATCACTAAGTTATTAAATACTTTTATATATAATATTTACATATTCTGTATTCTTTTAATGAGCTAAATATGAATCTGTTTTTATTTTTTAAAAAAAACTGTATTTTGACAGGGGACGCGTAGGGACGCGTAGTTTAGCCAAAAAAAAATTTTTTTATTAATATCTTTTTCTGAATCTCCTTGAAAAGCTAAACATGAATCTGCTTTTATTTTAAAAAAAAAACGGTTTTTTGACCGGGGATGCGTAGTGTTTTTGAAAAAAAAAGTGTTTTTTAAAAAAATCACTAAGTTATAAAATAGTTTAAAATATAATATTTACATATTCTGTATTCTTTTAATGAGCTAAATATGAATCTGTTTTGATTTTTTTAAAAAAACTGTATTTTGAAAGGGGACGCGTAGTTTGCCCAAAAAATTTTTTTTTATTAATACCATTTTCTGAATCTCCTTGAAAAGCTAAACATGAATCTGCTTTTATTTTTTTAAAAAAACGGTTTTTTGACCGGGGACGCGTAAGTGTTTTCGAAAAAAAAAAGTGTTTTTTCCAAAAATCACTAAGTTATTAAATACTTTAATATATAATATTTACATATTCTGTATTCTTTTAATGAGCTAAATATGAATCTGTTTTCATTTTTTAAAAAAAACTGTATTTTGACCGGGGTAGCGTAGGGACGTGTAGTTTAGCCAAAAATAATTTTTTTCGAAAAAATTTTTTTTTAAATTTTTTTTATTAATACCATTTTCTGAATCTACTTGAAAAGCTAAACATAAATCTGCTTTTATTTTTTAATTTGACCGGGGACGCGTAGTGTTTTCGAAAAAAAGTGTTTTTTCAAAAAATCACTAAGTTATTAAATACTTTAATATATAATATTTACATATTCTGTATTCTTTTAATGAGCTTAATATGAATCTGTTTTTATTTTTTTAAAAAAACTGTATTTTGACCGGGGACGCGTAGGGACGCGTAGTTTAGCCAGAAAATTTTTTTTTTATTAATACCATTTTCTGAATGTCCTTGAAAAGCTAAACATGAATCTGCTTTTATTTTTTAAAAAAAACGGTTTTTTGACCGGGGACGCGTAGTGTTTCCGAAAAAGTGTTTTTTCAAAAAATCACTAAGTTATTAAATACTTTTATATATAATATTTACATATTCTGTATTCTTTTAATGAGCTAAATATGAATCTGTTTTTATTTTTTAAAAAAAACTGTATTTTGACAGGGGACGCGTAGGGACGCGTAGTTTAGCCAAAAAAAAATTTTTTTATTAATATCTTTTTCTGAATCTCCTTGAAAAGCTAAACATGAATCTGCTTTTATTTTAAAAAAAAAACGGTTTTTTGACCGGGGATGCGTAGTGTTTTTGAAAAAAAAAGTGTTTTTTAAAAAAATCACTAAGTTATAAAATAGTTTAAAATATAATATTTACATATTCTGTATTCTTTTAATGAGCTAAATATGAATCTGTTTTGATTTTTTTAAAAAAAATGTATTTTGAACGGGGACGTGTAGTTTAGCCAAAAAAATTTATTTTATTAATACCATTTTCTGAATGTCCTTGAAAAGCTAAACATGAATCTGCTTTTATTTTTTAAAAAAAACGGTTTTTTGACCGGGGACGCGTAGTGTTTTCGAAAAAGTGTTTTTTCAAAAAATCACTAAGTTATTAAATACTTTAATATATAATATTTACATATTCTGTATTCTTTTAAAGAGCTAAATATGAATCTGTTTTTATTTTTTAAAAAAAACTGTATTTTGACCGGGGACGCGTAGGGACGCGTAGTTTAGCCAAAAAAATATTTTTTTTATTAATACCTTTTTCTAAATCTCCTTGAAAAGCTAAACATGAATCTGCTTTTATTTTTAATAAAAAACGGTTTTTTGACCGGGGACGCGTAGTGTTTTTGAAAAAAAAGTGTTTTTTAAAAAAATCACTAAGTTATAAAATAGTTTAAAATATAATATTTACATATTCTGTATTCTTTTAATGAGCTAAATATGAATCTGTTTTGATATTTTTAAAAAAACTGTATTTTGAACGGGGACGCGTAGTTTAGCCAAAAAAAATTATTTTATTAATACCATTTTCTGAATCTCCTTGAAAAGCTAAACATGTATCTGCTTTTTTTTTTTATAAAAAACGGTTTTTTGACCGGGGACGCGTAGTGTTTTTGAAAAAAAAAGTGTTTTTTAAAAAAATCACTAAGTTATAAAATAGTTAAAAATATAATATTTACATATTCTGTATTCTTTTAATGAGCTAAATATGAATCTGTTTTGATTTTTTTAAAAAAATTGTATTTTGACTGGGAACGCGTAGGGACGCGTAGTTTAGCCAAAAAAAATTTTTTTATTAATACCATTTTCTGAATGTCCTTGAAAAGCTAAACATGAATCTGCTTTTATTTTTTAAAAAAAACGGTTTTTTGACCGGGGACGCGTAGTGTTTTTGAAAAAAAAGTGTTTTTTAAAAAAATCACTAAGTTATAAAATAGTTTAAAATATAATATTTACATATTCTGTATTCTTTTAATGAGCTAAATATGAATCTGTTTTGATTTTTTTAAAAAAACTGTATTTTGAACGGGGACGCGTAGTTTAGCCAAAAAAATTTATTTTATTAATACCATTTTCTGAATGTCCTTGAAAAGCTAAACATGAATCTGC